GTTTGCCGGGCGAGGTTTTGAAGTGGCCTCATTTGTAATCTGACCTCCCTTCTTGTCATATTTGCGTCATCGGCTCCGGGGGCCGTGCTTGGATGCTGACAACTATTCCCAACTTTTTAAAATATGGCTCTTTGGCAACCCAGGGAAGAAAAAAAGACAGACACCCCGCTGGCTTCAGAGTGTTTCTGCAGAAAAGGGTTCGTGGCACGACACGACTGGGACCAGGATCGTCCAAAGCTGCCCGATCCCGCCCTGCTTTATTCCCACTGGTTGTTGTGAGCCCACTCACTTTCTCCCTTGGACGATCCCCAGGGACCACCAGGCTGAGGAGCTGAGGTTGCTGCTGCGGATCCAAACCCCGCACAGCTCCACAAGCCTCCTGTGTTCCACTGGGATCAGACAAAGGCTCTCTCCCGGTGGGTTCCACCCCCAGGACGTGGATACTCTGGGACCCTGCGCATGGTCCTGCTGGGCCGGGGCTGGCCCTTGGGTCTTGCACATCCCCGGGACTTTATGTGATCCGTGAGGTTTGGCAGCTCCAGCAGGGCCACCGCAGCCGGGATCTGCCGGCCAGGCCTCCTTTTTGGCACAGGGAGGTCTTCCCTGTGGGAAGGGGCACAGGGACGGCGGCGGGCCGGAGCAGAGGCAATTACAGCCCCTAAGAAATGAGCAGGGACTATTTTAAGGCCGCTTCTCCAGGCTTGAGGAAGCCAAGGCCGCCCATCCATCCCTCCCAGCTCCTCTTCCTCGCTCGTCGCGTCAGCGCCCGCGAGGTTGAGACCAGGAGAGGTTCCGAGCCAGCCCCGAAATGAAAAACGTAAATACGAGATATTAAAACCAGATCTGCTCCAGAGAAGAACTCTGACATCGCCACAAATCCGAAGAAGAAAGGGAAAACTCTGGCATATAAATTCCACATGACATCACTTTTCTGGGAGCCCGGTGCCAAAACAGTGCTATCTCCGGGAGAGCCGCGGCGAAAGCTCTGCTCGGCCCTGCCAGGTTCATATAACTCTGAGATTAAAAGTGCTTTCACATTTATGCTGCAGGAGGGGGGATGGGATGGGGAGGGGGTGTGTTTTCCCGGGGGAAATGTTACATTCCTGTCGGTAGTACCAAGTCAGGGAAGGAGAGACTTGTCATCCCCGCGCGAGTCATTGATCTTCCTTCCCCAGCCTGCTCCAAAATCCCTCGACTTGGAAGCTTCTGCAAGGAGACCGAAACCCACAGAGCTTCTTGGTGGCTGAGTAACACTATAATTAGGGTTCAGGAAATTTTTTTCCTTCGATTTATCATCAGCAGCTTTCTACAAATTGCTGAGGGGAGCCTTTGTCAGAAGCCGGGCACGGCTGAGCTCCTTTCACTCTCCTGCTGCTGCTGCAGCAGCTCCAGCCCAGGTGACTGCTGGTCCCCGCACACACCACACACCCTCCGTGTTTTCCCTCTAAACCCTCAGGTCACAAACCTCTCTCAGCACCTCCAGGGAGTAAAAGCCTGTTCTCCAGCCTCTCACCTCGGGACACGGAGCAACGACATAAATATTGCAGCTGTACGAGGTGCTGATGCCAGCGGGGGCTTCCCCGACAGAACTGCAGCTCAGGGGATTATCACCATCACTTTTGGGACTCCCTGGGGAACACAGACACTGCCCTCTGCGTGTAGGGCTGGGGGATTCCATCCCAGAGCCGTCCCACAGGGAAGGGCAGAGCTCAGCCAGCAGACACTGGGCAAAGGGGTGACTTTCAGTACCACAGTTGTCTAATTCCTGTGAAAACTCCGGGTTCCCTCAAACTAACATAAATAATCTGGATTCTTCCCTGGAAATCGTTAGGAGTGTAAGAATCAACCTTTTTTCTGGTGGCTGCCCACCTCAGGACCCCCTCAGGAAATCAGTGGAGATCCCGTGGTTTGGGACAATTATTGAGCATCCCAAGCTGTGAGATGAGGAGCTGAGCTGGGATTTTCCCTGGCCATGGGCTGTGAGCAGCCAGGAAGGGTTATGGGAAGGTCTCCACGGCCACCAGCACTGCCATAAACCTGCTGGTGGGCTGGTCCAGCCCGGTCCCCCCACCTGAACTGAAAAACTGCCTATTAAGAGGAAATGTTATGAAGTGCCTGAGCGACCTGGGAATTAAATTCCCATTTTCTAACACAGCTTAAGCGGTTGTGGGCAGGTTTATAACTTGGTTGGATTTGCCACCTCTCTCGAGAGCCGGGCTGGGATTCCTGTGTGTTCCTCCACGAGGATGAGGATTTAGTTACACAGAACCCAAAAGGTCTCTGCACCAGTCTGATTTTGAGAATTGACACATTCCAAGGGGTGGTATCGATTCCGACAAAACCACGACTGCAGAAGTGTCAGAGCTTACTGTTTCCACCCTCTCACTCTGTTACATCAATCCCCAAAAGTTTTGCTCCCATCCAGTCTGGTTTTCTCTGGGCTGTGTCAGCCTACCTGTGCAGCAGGAATCTGCTGTGAGCCCGGCTCATGGCGGGGCAGAGCAGCACCTCACGCCACCCTGCTTATTTTATTTCGGGATTTATTCGGGGTCTCCGCTCCCAGCATTTTTCCCTGGCAGGGAATGACTTACCTGAGGTGCGTGGGGCAGGCACTGAATTCCTCCAAGGATTCTCCCCATGGCTGCAGGCCTCCAGGAAGGACTCCACCTGCTCCCGGGGGAATACAGGTACTCAGAGTGTTTTCCACCCAGCAAGGCTTTTCCTTAACCCTCCTCGGTGGGGACACCAATCCGTGGTGTCCTGCACCTGCCCCAAGAGGTGACAGTGGATCTGCAGGGGACAGGCCGCCAGCTTTGGCTTTTTGGTCGCTCTGCCCGCCCCAGAAATTCTGCCGGGCCTGGAGACGTGTTTGGGGTTGCGTTTTTTAATGAGAAAATCCCTTCTCCGGACAAAATCATTAAAATCGCGTTTTTAGCGGGGGCTGCCGCCGGTCCAACAGCCAAGGAAAGAGCAGGAACCAGAAGCCCGAGTGCGCAAAAGCCACGGCTGCCCTTGTGGCCCCTCAGCCCCTGCAGTGGCGCAGGTTGCAGCTGGGAATACACTCCGTGTGTCCGTCTGTTCCCGCCGGGAAGGTGAGGCTTCCCCGCCGGCTGCAGCAGGCGGCTCTTCCCTGGCTCGGGAACAAGGGGGTCTCCCTCTGGTGGCAAATTCCACCTGACAGCGCAGGGATGGGGCTGCAGGCCGAGGTCCCGGGGCTCGGGACACGGCCCTTGCCCTTTGCCTCGGGGCTGTAGGGGATGCTCAGCTGTTGTCCCAGGTTTTGGCAGGTCCACGGGCAGCCTTGGAAGGGAATAACTCAGGGAATAACTCAGGCACTCGTGTGCGATCCCAGCAGGACACTGATGGAAAGGGTTGGACTCCGACACTGATGGGAAGGGTTGGACCCTGCACTGTGTCTCTGCCCGACTCCAGCACTCCCGCCTTGCCCATCCCAGATCAGTCAGAGCCCCCTGTCCCACCTCCAGAGGGTGCAGGAGCGCTCCCCATCCCACCTGGAGTCACAGCGGGGTGCTGAGAACCCAGCCCGCAGCAAACACCGGCGCTTTAAGGGTGTTGCTGTCCACCATCATCATTCCAAAGCTGCTGTGCCACGCGCTGGAATGTAGCTTTAAATGGATTAACCTGGCAGGGGAGTAACCAGGCATCTGTCTCAGGTGACTCCTCCGTCCTCACATCCTTTAGAATCCAGCCAGTGACAGTTTGGCAGCGGATCTCGCCCTGGGACAATCCTCTCACCTACTTAAAATTCCCTCCTTCCCCTCCCGAGTTTGCCGCGGGATGCACGGCCCGGCTCTGGCCGGGGGCTTCGCAGCAGCAGAGGCAAAACTCGCCTCTTGCCACCCCGAGGACGAAGACAAACTAATTTCCTGCGGTGGGATGTGTTTGGCATCCCCCCGCCTCCCGCCATCCCTCCCACAGAGCCGCCCTCTCCGCAGAAAGCCGGGCGTGTATTCTCCTGCCAGGATATTCCCTCCCTGCCCCGCTGGAGGACCTTCCCCTTCTCCAGACAATGAAGGGACCGACGCCAGTGGCAGCGGCTGGTGGAGCCAGGGAATGCAAGAGCCCCTGGAGCCCATCCTGAGCCGCCCCGGCCGGCTGGGCAGGAGGGGGTGACGGGGCGGACGGCCCCCACCAGCCCCCCGGGACCGGGCAAAGTGAGTGGGAGGTGGCCAGGGCTGCCCTGCAGCCCCTCCAGGAGTCACCCAGTGAGGCCACGGATGCAGGAGAACCCCAGGATGAAACGTGGGGTGCAGAGCTGCCACGCACTCACCTTGGGGTGGGGGCACAAATCCGGGCCTGGCACGGGGCGATTCCAAGATCCCACCCGAGATCCCACAGGGTCCTACCACTCACAGGTGCTGCCTGGGGCTGGGAGACCCCGGGAGAAGGGATGGTGCTCATCCAGACCCCGAGGGAGAGAGGGAGGGAGGGAGGTCAGGAGCGTGTGCCCACAGCTGTCACTTTTTATTAAAGGTTTGTTATTAGAAAAATAGATCATAAAACATTGTGGCACTTCTGTCCATTCCTATCCTGGGGCAGAGGCGCTGGAAGGTGGACGGAGAAAGGGCTCCAGCACGGATGCTCCGGCGTGGGAAAGCCGGGAATTGCTCCCTTGGGCTGGGACAGAGCCGGGGATGCTCCCAGCAGTGACTGGCACTCACTGCATCCAACAGTCTTCGGGGACACGGGGAACGAGAAAGAACAACTGAAAGCAAGGGGTGAAAAATACAAAACAAAGAAGGAAGACCGAGTCTTTTCTGTCACCCCTTTCCGATCCAATGGAGGTAAAGTGTCCCTCTGGGAATGTCCTGACCGGGATTTGCCGCGGGACAAAGTCGCCTCTCGCTGCCCAGGCTGTCTCCTCGTCCCCGCAGTGGCAGTGGCACTCTGGGTACAGTTCGACGGCACTTCAGGCTTCAGTTACAGTTTGCAGGTGCTTATTCCAAGAGTCCCTCTCTGTCGGCAGCTGCTCCAGGGCTCTAGGACGAGGAGGTTGGGATAGAGAGTCCGTGGATGGCGTTTAGAGGGTCCGGAGGTTTCCCCACGGGGCTGGTGGGTTTTCTGTCCACGACTGCAAGAAAAGGTGGAGAGGGAAAAACCAGACAACAAGGCGGGGGATTGATGGACTCGGAGCATGTAGAACCTCCTCCAAGAGCCCCCCAAGGGCAGTTCTGCCCCACGGGGCTCCTCATCTAGCCACTGGGAACGGCACCCCTTTGGAAAGGGGTATCCAGGGGAAACAGAGAGGGAAAAGGGGAATGCTTCCCCCCCCAGTGACAGGGACCGTGGTGATGGCATTGCCGGGGATTTACCTGCGGAGGGGACCCACACCACTCCCAGCCACGCACAGAACACATCCCACGCGCTTCCCTAAAGCTGGAGCGCCCTGGGACAGGACTGTGCCGCCAGCGCCGGGGAGGGCAAGGGGACGGGACCGTCACACCATTCCAGTGGCAGTGACACTCCTGCTGAGCCTCATCCCAGCCCCAGCTCCGCCCAAACCCGGCCCAGGCCGTGGGAATCCCCCCCGCACCACCCACCCGCTGCCTTCGGAGAGGGGGATATTCATCCCGGGGGCACTGCGATGAGCGGGGGGAGTTCTCAGCGAAAATCTATAAATTTGGAAAAGGTCTGGAATAAGAAGGTGGAAATTGCCTGGCTGGGTTTGTCTGCCACTCTTTTCATTCCTCCTTTCCATCCTTTCCCCGCTCCCTGCTCTCGCTGCAGGTACGGGGGGCCAGGAGCCCCCTCAGCCCATCCCACCCTTTCTCCTCCCGTCCCCTGCTCGGGGCAGAGCGCGGGGGAGGCTTTTTGCCAAATAATCCCAAATATTTGGGGTATCCCAAATAAGTCGCAGAACCAGAAAACCGGTTCGAAATAAATAAATTAAAAAAAAAAAAAAAAAAAAAACCAAAAAACTTTGAAAGAGAAAATAAATTTAAAAAACACAAGGAAAAAAAAACTTGCAAAACAAAACCTCACAAACGTTTAGAAAAGTCTCCGAGCCTTTGGGCACAACAGGTTAAAAATCGGCAAATCAGAAATCTCGGGCTACAAGTCACTTAAAATACCTCAAAAATACACTAAGTATGCACAGGTCGGATTTCTGCCTTTGGTCTTGTTATATCCTTTTTTTTTCCCTTTTTTTCTCATTTTCTTTTATTCCTTTTCCTTCCTTCCCGTTGCTTTCTCGCTCTCTGTTTCTCCCTCTTTTTTCCCCCCCTTTAAATAATCGATTTAAATTATCTGTTCGCACCCCTTGATTACTCACAACAGATTGAACGAGGTAGAAATGCTAAAAGGCAAAAAACCAAACAAATAAAATATTAACCCCCCAGAAAAACTAGATGAAAACGGACTAATCAGTGAGGAATTAATTACAAATTAATTAAAGTAATAGAAAGTCTAATACCGCCGGAAAAGGCCAAAAATATCGATGGGCGGAAAAATCGGGATATTAAAAATGAATCTGCCCATGGAGGAAATAGAGCTCCATAAATGAGACGAATTAATTAACAGGAGACAAAAGAACCGCCCCATTAAATAGCCTCAAATTGTTCCCTTGGGATTCTTGGGGGAGCGTTCAATTATTAGTTCCGGGAACAAATTAAATAAAATAATAGTTACTTATAATAATTAGTAATTATTCACAAAACGTTAAATAATTGCTGTGAGTTAATAATTAATAGCTAATTACTAGGAATTAAGAATTCCCAGTCAAGACTTCTGCCTTTCTGTGTCATTCCAAGGCTCCCGACCTGGGAGATGCCGGGAAAAGGCTCCTGCTCTGTCCCGCCGCACCCCGACATTCCAGGGGGGATGGATGGACAGCGCGGGGTTCGCCCTGACCCTTCCCGCTTCCCCGGCTGTTCCCAGCGACCAGGAACGGGGAGGAAAAGCAATTTCCAGTTTATAACCGGGATGTGGCGACTCAGGATGTGGAGGGGACCATTGGAATACCTGGGGGGGGGGGGCTCAGGTGGAGGGACCCTCCCCAGCCCCTCACCCCCGTCCCGCCCCTCTCCCGCTCTCCGAGCCCCCCGCAGCTCCCCCGGGGGTCCCCCCGCGCCGTCCCCCCCGCTCACCTTCCCTGCCGGGCTGCTTGAACGCCATGGCCGCGGGCAGGTCGCCGCCGTGGACGGTCACGCCGTGGCCGTGGTGGGCCAGGGGGGTCCCCTGCGGCTGCCAGGGGGGTCCCGGGGCGATGTAGCCGCCGGGGGAGCCGCCGTAGACGCCGGGCTGGGTGGAGGGGGGGTAGGCGCAGGCCGGCAGGAAGGTGCCCATCGAGGAGAGCCCCGGGCCGGGCTGGGGACAGGCACAGAGTTGGGGGTGGGTGGGGGGCTCAGAACAGCCCGCCCGGCTCTGGGGGTCGGGGTCCCCCTCGGGGAGACGGGGGCCGGGCGGAGGGGGAATGGGAGCGGTGGGAAATCTACCCCTTCCCTGCCCCTTTCCTGTCCCCCTGTCTCATTCTTCCCTGCCCCTCTTCCTGCCCCACTAATGCCCACCCCGTCCTCTCCCTGTCCCCCCTCCCTGTCCCCCCTCCCTGTCCCCCTGTCTCATTCTTCCCTGCCCCTCTTCTTGCCCCACTAATGCCCACCCCGTCCTCTCCCTGTCCCCTCTCCCTGTCCCCCCTCGCTGTCCCCCTTCCCTGTCCCCCCCCCTGTCCCCCGCTGCCCCCCCAGCAGTCACCTGCGGGTATTTGATGTCCCCCTCCATGGCCGCCTTGTCGAGCCCGTTGACCGCCTGGCCCGGGGCGGGGAAGCCCGTCCTGTTCACGCTGGGCCACTCTTCCATTTTGGGGGGGTAGGCAGCCCCCTCTGTGCCAGCCAGAGCCCCTGGGGAGCAAAGCGTCAGCCCCAGAACCCGCCGGGCCCGGCCCGAGCGGGTTTGGGGCTGAAAGAGGGGGAAATCACGGTTTTACAGATGCCCGGTTGCATAAACCCATGGAGAGGGGGCACAGGAATTCGCATTCCCTCCCAGTGTCCTTCAGCATCCCGGGACACAGTCCCCCGGACTGAAATTGGGTAGCACATGGCGAGGAGAGGCTGTGGCGTCCCCCCCCAACCCCCCCCCCCCCCTCCCCCCCCCCCCCCCCGGCGATTCCAAGCCCCCGGTAATTTAGGGGGCCCAATTTCTCTTCTGACGAAGGAGATTTATAAAACTGACATCGGAATTTTAAGGATAAATGATTGCACGGGGCAAAACGCATGCGGTTGATTTACTCGGGCTTTTGGAAGGATAAAAGGACCCGCACCCCCCCTGCCACGTCCCGCGTCCCCTCCCCGGAGTCGGAGGGGCTCAGGGCTCGGCGCTGCCGCTGCTCCCGGAGCCCCAAAACCGGGACAATTTCCTGGGGATATCCCGCAGGCCGGTCCGGGGTGCCTTGTCTTCTCCTTTCCCCCTCCTCTGGTTTTTTCCCTCTCCCTTTTTACCCCCATTCCATATATATATTTTTTATATATATATTCCCCTTTGCGAAGGGAAATTCAGGGCTCCGAATTTGCGGTCGGCAATCTATCATCCCCACGAAAATATTTTCCACATTTTTCATAAAATGTTCAAGATGTGGCTGAGCCGAGGCCGCATCTGGCCCCGCCGCCCCGACGGGCTGATGGAGCGGGGGGTGGCCCTCGGATCAAAAAAAAAAAAAAATAAAGAAAGAAAGCAAAATATACTGAACAAGCAAAACAAATAATAATAATAATAAAAAAAAATAAAAGGAAGGAAACAAACAAACAAAAAACCCGAAACCGAAATGAACCAAAAAAAATTGAAACAAATAAAAAAAAAGAACGAAACAAGCAAAAGAGCACGAAACAACAAAAAGTCACAGAACAGGCGAAAAGGCACGACACTAATAAAAAATACCCGAAACAAGCAAAAAAAAGCACAAAACAAGCCAAAAAGCACGAACCGAACAAGACCCGACAAAAAAAATAAAAAGAAAAAAATCGAAACACACAAAAACCTCGAAGCAAATAAAAAAACCAAAACAACCAACCAAAAAAACCCCCCAAAAAACAGAGAAAATAATGATGATAATAATAATAATAATAATAAAGACCAAAAGAAACGGGGGCGGGAAGGGGGAAGCGAAGTTGCCCGCGGGCCGGGCGGGGCAGGGGCGATCCCGGGGCCGGCGGTACCCACCCGCCTGCTCCACGAAGGTGCGGATGCCCAGGATGTTGGTGACGGAGTGCGCCGAGGGCCAGGAGCGGGGCAGCCCGACGGGGGGTGCCCCGAGGGGCGCGGCCGGGTGCCCGGCGGCCTTGGCGGGCGGCGGGGCGGCGGGGCCGGGGTACGGGTACTGGTAGATGTGGCCGCAGGGCAGCGCGGGCGGGGGGCCGGGCGGGGCGAGCCCGCCGATCTTGTTGCGCAGGATGCGGCTGATGGAGCTGACCGAGGGCACGTTGTACTTGTCGCACACGCCGTCGGCGAGCAGCCGGTCGCGGATCTCCCAGGCGAAGATGCCCGGGTCGCCCTGCTTGTAGTCGCGGATGTGCTTGACCACGGCGGGGGTGGTGACCCGCGGCTTGCTGCCGCCGATGGCCCCGGGCAGGATGGAGCCCGTCTCGTGGTACCGGGCCAGGATCTTGCTGACGCAGCCGTGGGACACGCGGAGCTGGCGGCTGATGTCGCAGGGCCGGATCCCGAGCTGCGCCAGCTCCACGATGCGCAGCCGGATGGCGTTGGGCAGCGGCCGCCCGTTCACGAACACGCCGCCCAGCTGGTTCACCTCCCCGTACGTGTGCTCTGCGGGAAGGGCAGGGGTGGCGTGGCACGGCACGGCACGGCACGGCATGGCATGGGTGGGATGGGACGGGGGCGCGCCGCTGTGGTCCCCGCGGGATGCCCGGACAGCGAGCGGGAGCGGGACGGGGCTGCCGCGGGAAGGAGAAGGAGAAGGGGGAAAGCGGAAAACGGGGAGAGAAAGGAAAAGGGAAAGGGGGGAAAAAAAGGGAAGGAAAGAAAGGGAAGGGGGAAGAAAGGAAAAGGGAAGGGGGGAGAAAGGAAAAGGGAAGGGGGGAGAAAGGGAAGGGAAGAAGGGAAGAGAAAATGAGAACGAGAGGGAAAGAGAGAAGGAGGAAAAAAAGCAGAGGGGAAAGAAGAAGGGGCAGGAGAAAAAAAAGAGGAAAGCGGAGAGAAAAAGAGAAATAAAGACAGAAAAAATAAGGTCAGAGAGACAGTAAAAAAGAAGTGGGGGAAAGACACGGGGAAACGTGAGAGAAAAAGAGAAAACAGAAACGAGGAGGGGGAAAACAGGGCAGAAAAAAGGAGAGCGGAACAAAAATAAAAAGACGGAGAAAAGGCGAAAGAGCGAGAACGGGAGAAGGAGCCGCAAGCAGAGAGCAGAGCGAAAGCGAAGGGAGGAGCGGGGAGAACGGGGGACCCGGAGCTCTCCCGGCCGGGCACGTCGTGCCGGCCCCGGCGCTGCGGGCCGAGACCCTCCGGGCCGGACCACCTCCCGCCGCCTTCCCCCCCGCCCGGTGCCTTCCCCCGGCTCTGCCGAGAGCCCGGCGGAGCCGTCCCGGAGCCCTCTCGGAGCCGCCCGCACTCACCCATCGCCCGGCGCGGGGGTCGCGCCGCTCCGCCCGGGGAGGGGGCAGCGCCCGGCCCAGCATAGAGAGCCCGGGGGGCGGCGGGGAGCCGGCGGCCGGGGGGTCCTGGCGGCGCCGGGCCGGTTCCCCGCTCGCGGGGAGCCCCCGCCGCTCCTCGGGATCAATTTGACGTGGGAATCACGTCAATCCCGGCCGTCACGGCGGCGGCGCCGCCGCCCATTGGCTCCCGCCCGCTCCTAAATGGCCGCGGCGAGGAGGGACGGGGGGGGGGCCGGTACCCTCTGCCCGCCCCCTCGGGGCCCGAGCCCCGCCACCCCCCGTGGGACCCCCCCGCGCATCGCCCCGCACACCCACCCCCGAGCCGCGGGAAGGCGGAGCGGGGTCCGCCGCGGGGGTCCCAACACCGCCCCCCCTTAAGGCGTGAGGGTCCCCGCGGGTCCCTCCCCGCGCTTGTTCCCATGCGGGACGCGGACACGCACCTGCCCCGCCTCCAGCCCCGACGGGACCCCCGGGCGGGGGCAGCGCGGGGGGCTCCGCCGGGGCAGGGCCGTGCTTTGGGGGGCGGGGGCACCCACGGAGCCCTGCCCGGGGGGGGCTCCCTTGTGGACACGTTGCCGCCCACCCGGCGGTGAAATCCGCCTTTTTTTCCCCCCCTCAAAAAAAAAAAAATAACGCCCGGGAGCAGCCTCGGGGACGGGGCGAGTGCTCGGGACATTCCTGCGGATTCCTGTCCCCTCCCCACGGAGAGGTCGGTGGGAAGACCGTGAGTGTTTCCCCGCAAACGACTGGAAGGGTGGGGGGCGAGGGGCGTGCCCGGCGGGGGCAGCGGCGCGGAGAGGCCGCTCCGCGGTGGGGTTTAAAGGGGGGTCGGCGAGGGGGGGTGGCAGCGCCCACCACCCCCGGGCTCGCCCCCGGCAGCGAGGACATCCACGCAAACGGCATCCACGGGCAGGGGGGGAAGCCTCCAGGGGGTACCCGCTCTGGCGCCCCCTCCTCTGCTCCCCACCCACCCGAGACGGGGGGTTGAACCCACGCGGGGGTCGCGGCAGGCGGTGCCGCCCGAGCGCTGGAAAAAAGCGCCGGGAAAAGGGAGCGGATCGATTAAACGGGAGCTGAGCGCCTCGGGGGGGTGGGCGTCCGGTGATGGCCTCACCCCCCCCGGTACTCACCCGGCCGCAGCCCCCGTGGGGGGACCCGCGCGATGAGTTCGCCGTTCTCAGCCCGGCGGAGCGGCCGCCGCAGCCCGCGGGGAGCCGGCGATCGAACGGCGGCCGGGGAAGGCAGGTGCGGTTCTCCCCGCCCCGGTGATCCCACGGGACGGTTTTTTCCGGGAGTGTGGGGGTCCCTTCCCACCCTCGGAGGAGCCTTTTCCCCCGGGAACCGCGCTCGGAGGAGCCCGGGCGCTGGAGCGGGGCGGCGGGACCCCGCGCACCCCCGTGGCCGCAGCCAGCCCCGCACCCCTGCTCCCTGGAGATGAGGCGCTGGAGGAGGCTTTTCCAAAGAAAATATCCCCCCGGGAAGCGATTCCCCCCCGGGGCGGCCCCTCCACTTGCTCCCCGCATCCCCCCGCGGCTCTGCCGGGCAGGACGAGGGGCTGGGATGGTCGAGATCCGGCCCCTGCGGGAATGTGTCCCTGGACGTAGCGGGGATGGAAAGGTAGGAGAGGAAAATGGCGAGGAAACAAAGAAAAGGAAAAAAATAAGGAAAAGAAAACGAAGGAAGAAAAGCAGAAGAAGAAGGAAAACGAGAAGAAAAAGAAAACGAAGGAGGGGGGGGAAAAAGAAGGAAAAAGAGGTAGAAGACTGAGGAAAATAAAGAGGGAAAAGGTAGAAAGAAAAGGAAGGTAGAAAATTGAGGAAAATAAAGAGGGAAAAGGCAGAAAGAAAAGGAAGATAGAAGAAAAAATGAAATAACTAAGCAAATTAAAAAATAAGAGAAGGAAAAAGAACAAGGACAAAAATAAAGAAAAAAAATGGAAGAAATTTAAAGGAAAGGAAAGAGAGGAAAAGAAAAAGGAAAAGGGGAAGCAGAGCGGGCGGGGGGCGTCCGGCTCAGGTGAGAGGCGGACTGGGGGGGGGGGGTCCCTATTAATAACACGCTGCAAACGCTCCCCGGGGTGCTCAGCGCCCTGCGGAGCTCCAGGGGCAGCGCCGGGGGCTGCCCGGGCCCCCCAAACCTGCTCCCTCCGGCCGAGCCCCCACCGTCCTTCCCTGAGATCGTGTCCGTTCGCTCCGACTCCTTTCTACCTTCTCCACCTCCTCCTTCCCCGCTCCTCTCACGATCAACGCCGTGAACACGGTCCGGCCTGAAAATACATTTAAACCCCATTTATTTTACCAATTTTTCGTGCGCGTTTTTATGCCTCGTGTGACAGAGGTGCGATTCTGCGTCCTTCGTTTTGCTGAATGAAAATCCGGATCCGCAGTGGAACGGGAAGCTCCAAAAGCTTTTTTTTTCAATTTAAAAAAAAGAGAAATATCAGGGCTGTTTGATAGAAATATCAAAGACATTGGATAGAAATATCGAGGATATTCCTCTGCTGCAGCAGCTGGTGATTAGTATAGTTAAAGGTTATAGTTCCTGTGTGTTTCACCAGCATTTATTCTCCATTATTTATGGTATGATATTATAATACTATTACGTTTTAATAGATAATACTGTTATAGAGTAACGCCATGATATATTATATTGTTATATTATTATATGATTCTGTTGTATTATTAACTAATACTACCACACTAGACTATGATATTATATTATTGACTGTAATTCATTAGTGATTCAGGAATGCTGTGGCTCTTGGAGGAGTTTATGGAGCCTGTTTTCTGACAGGATCAATCCAAATTGGAAAATCCTGTCGCTGGGGGATCAGACACGCTGAAAAACCATCCAGCAAGTGCAATATTATCTCAGTGCCTGAGCCTGTGCTTTGTGTGTCGGAGGGAACGCGAAATTAATTCTGACAATATTTTTTTCCCCAGCCTTCTGGCACGGGCTAAATGCGGGGAGTTGGATGACCCTGCTGCCGCGCCCCAAAAAAAGGCTTTCTGTTTGCTGAGGAAGAGGGTTTGAGAGCTAAACCAAAATAAAATCCTTCTCCGAAGCTCCTTCTGAGACGTTTTGGTTAATTACCTCTTTCAGGCTGGTAAAGGCCATAGGTTGAGGTAATTAATACTAATTCAGTTTTGTTTGTCAAAAGCAATTTTGCTCTGTAAAATACACCCCTGCCAGAAGGCTCCTCAAATCCACACGGGGAAAAAAAACACACCAAACTCGCCCAGATTTTTGGGGTTTGGGTTTCCCCCCCCCCCTAAACACTACGGTTTTTTGATCACAGACTCATAACGTGAAAATGAGAGTGGGATCCTGGATCATTAACCTAAAAAATCCTTGTGTGAAACATTGCAGATCTGAGGGCGACTCAGGGCGTTGAAAATGAAATAAATTGCGTGGATCTATCCTGCCTTTCTTTTTGTCCCGGTTTTCTGCCTCGGAACCATTTCAGATCACTTGGAAGTCGCTCTGCGTGGGTTTGAAATCTCCCTTTCGTGCCCCGAGCAGCGCGCAAGGAGTGGGAGGGTGTTCGGCTCAGCCCGGACCCGCCTGCCTCCCTCCAGCTCTGGAGGTGCCCGGTCACAGATCACCCCCTTTCCAGGTACTGAAATCCTAAAAATACGAAGTCTTTTGGGAGGAATATGAAACAACGTCAGCTCTAAGGGCACGCAGAGGGCTGGAGACAGGGGCTGCGTGCCCCGGCTGCCGAGGGGCTCGAGGGAGGGGGACAGATGAGAGTTGTTCCTTTGCAAAGTCTTGATCCCGCTCACCGACATCTGCGAGCCGCGTGCGAGGCACCGTCCGGCGGGAGCAGCCTCTGGATTTGCCAGGGCTCGGGGTCAAACCGCCGTGGAAGCCGCGATCCCGCACCCAACGTGGCAAAAAGACACGGCTCAGCCTCTGCCCTTGGGGTCCTTCCTCTCCCTCCCGCCTTTCCGACACGGCAGACGTGTCCTGCACAGCATTCCCTGTGGGAACGGCCACCTCTCTCCTGCAAACGCTCATCCAGCCCCGGCTCCGGCGGTGCTGAGAACCCGCAGCCCTCGTGACTCTGGTGGTGCTGTGAGGGACAACCGGTGCCTCCTCGGGTGGAGTCCTTGTCTCCTCCCTGGCCACCACCGGGGTCACACAATCGTGGAATCACTTAGGTGGGAAAAGACCCCCCGAGACCGTCGAGTCCAACCTGGCA